TGACATATTCTCAATTTACACACAACACAATTTACGAATGCACCATATGGAAGCGTCTTAAATGAGCTTAACTAAACTATGCCATGTTTCTACTTTACAAGTAATAACTACAAATACAGGATAAAGGAAGGACTTTGAAATCCATAAAATTTTATTACATGAATATTTGTTTCGGATTTTTATTATTTAATTTGTCAAATAGTTGTAATATTTAATTTATTGCTTATTTGCATTTAAACAGGATTATTTGATTACGGATATAAAGGACAATATATTATTTATTTGCTTTTATATTCGTATGTTTCCTAAAGTAATTGTTGAAACAAAATTAAAAAAAGGACATATTACTTTTATCCTCAAATAAGAGAATATTTCGGTACTTTATTCTGTATTTATGTCTTATAAATATCGTGATTTATATACACGAATATAACAAAAATATATTTAGTAACAAATAATAATAACAAATAATAGAAAAAAAAATCACGATAAAAATAAGTATTTTTAATTAATTATTTTTAATTAATCCATGTTCACTGACCTAAAATTATGCAATGAAATTTTTAGTGAACCAACATTATCCTATAGTATTAATTATTATGGGTAAAAAATTTGATTTAATATAAAAAAATATATGTAGAAATAGTTATTTTTACAGTAAATCTGTGCACACAATATATGCATAGGTATATGTTAGGGTTAAAAGCCGAAAACGCTCATTGAGCGAAAAAAACCACGAAGCGAAATTCATGTTATGGCAATTGTAAAAACAGACATAACACGTTGTGGATGACTTGTAATGACCATGAAGCAAAATTTGTGTTATGGCACTTGTAAAAACAGCCAGCATGAGTTGTGGTATTTGAATAGTAGGATGGTATTTAACCAACTACTCATCGGGTTTATATACAACCTTTACAAAAAAAAAAAGCAAAAATAAATCTATAGAACAAATGATGAATGCAATGAATCAAATGAGCATGAAATGATGAAATGAAATACAATATAAAATGTTAACAACTTCTAAACAAAAGATAGTCTTTATTATTAAAAGTATAATCATTATTGTATTTTGTACATATATTGGAAAGTATTTAATTTATTGTTTATTATTTAAAAATAAAATTGTTAACTTTAAAATTGATTCCTTTATAAATGTTTTCCACTTTAAATGTTTTCAAGAGCAGTTATAATAAAAAAACGCCCTGACGAAAAAGTCGAACAAATTTTAAAACGTCGGCTATAATTATATGAACTACTATATAAGAATAAAATAAAATAAAAAATAAAAACTAATTTATAAGCCATTTTATCAATTAAAAAAAAAATCAAAAAAAATTTATTTTTATCTTCATTCAAAAGACTGAATGCCTTCTATTCGATTGGGGTCTGTTACAGTACAAACGATTCTTTGAGGTTACAATATGTTCTACTGGGGGTCAAAATTCTTATAAACATCTTTTAGAATTTCAAATAAACAATTTTAAATGGTAATTATGTGTGGACAAAGTTTACTCATAAGCAATAAAAACCGGGGTTATTGTGAATTTGTTGTTGTATTTACTAATTTGTTTTATATATATATTTTAATCCGTGTTTTTGTAAAATTACTCAAGAAAACAAATATAAAACAATCATTTTTAATATAATTATAATAATATATAATTATGACTTCAGTTAAAAGATTTATTTAAATTTTATTTAAAGTATTATTAAACAATAAAAAATCAAACAGAGTCTCATTTCATTCAATTTAAAAATTAAAATTGTACTTTAAATTTAATATGATTTTTTCACTCATATTAAAATTGAATATGAACGTATTAAAAATTATTGAAAGTATATTTTCATTTATTAAAAAGGTAAGATAGGTATTTGGCAATATTCGAAATAGTTAGTATTCAATTAATTAAAAATAAGATTTTGTTGTTTCACTACTATTTAAAAATATTCCTTTTTGTTTAATTTTTTGTGGAATTATAATAATATTCAGAATTACATAAAACATGTAATGAAGTAATGAAATTTTATAGAAGTATTTTATAGAACTTAAGAATAATAATCGGTGTAGTCAAATCCATACCTTTTTTACATTTACTTCCTGACAACTTTAAGGTGAATATTTAGTTTAGACTCTAGTTTTTTTAGCTTAAAAATTGGACAATTCTGGCATTTTGTGCTGATTGGGAAATTTAATTTTATGCGGATATTATGATTATAGTTATTTACTTTCATTCAATGTAGAGTTGCCTATTGGAACGAGGTAGATCTCACCTTCTGGTAAGTAAGGAACTATATTCAAACTATGGGGTTAAGCCTTAACGGCAGATAATTCCCTTAAATACTGATTTAAACTCTGAATGATTGTAGTGCAATTGGGTGACGGGTATAATTGTAACTAGTAATTGTACTTTCCTGACGTGATACCTTTCTTCTGGTATGAAAGTATACTTAGAAACCATTTTTTAAGAGTTCATATGCTTGTTTGTAAATGTTTTATTCGCAAAATATTTGTATTCAAGAGGATAAGAATAGGCATATATATTTCGATAGTAGACTCTAAAATATTAAAAGTGTGATAAAAATTTTTAAAAATTGTTATTGTAGGTGTACTTTATAAAAATATGTGTTACGTTACAGTAATGTTAAAACAAAATATACCTATAATATTAAAAAAAAACTTTTTGAACTGATAATTTCACAGACAAAACCACATAAAATTTTTTTTCTTAAAAATAAATAGAATATATAAATCATTATGATTTAGTTTTTTAGTTTCAGATATATTTTGGCTTTTATGTTTTTTAATTTGTTTATTTATTTTATATATATATTTATATGTATTTCCAAAAACAAAATATAATCCTTATTTAAATTTATTCAATATTAAAACATGGCATATAAATATTTCAGTTTTAATAACTGATTACGTGTATGTATTATTGACAGAATTCTTCCTAATATTTCTTAACTAAGTTCTTCGAACTAACTATTAACAGCCCAGCCTGTACTTTAAATATATTATATTATGATTATGAAAATCATTTAATTTCTTATTTATTTTTAACGATCTCTGAATATTAATTTGAATTATATAAATTTTCTGCATAATGATAACATGGTATATTGTATAGTAAAATATTTTATATAGTTAATAATAATATATTGTTTTATGTGCAGATGTTTAATAATTAATGTTATGTTAATTTTTTTTTTAAATATATTCAATAATATTTTTTTTAACAGTGGTATTTAAGACTTTAATAAGCGTACAAACACACAACATTTTGTTAAAATGTTCTTAAATTTTTTTATATCAGACGTTACTATACGGATAATTATATAGTGTACATACATATTTTTATGGCACCAATCTAATTATATATTAACGATTTTAAGTGTTAAGATACTTTACGTGTAATAAATTGTAAACAAAAAAAATACACTTAGTTTCGAAAATACTTTGTACTAAATTCAGAAAATACGAATAACACATCATTCAATTAATCTTTGGTCTGGGTGCGAAAAATAAATTTTCTTATAATTTTGTCTATATTAGTACGACTTTGTCTATGATGCTTTTTTTGTATAATAAAAGTCTCAATCACGTCTTAATTTGAAATAATTTTATTTTCCTGAAGCATGTTTTGGATGTCTGTTAAAAGCCCGTAGTCGTGGGGGTCAGGTCTTAAGAGTACAGCAATTGGAAAAGCATTTTAAAGCGTAATGCCTTCTATAAAACAATCGTTTCATAGACTTAAGATCTCATTTTTTTGTCTAGTGTAAGCAAATACTGGTCTTGCTTCAAACAAAAACATGTATGCTCACATTTTTGTGTAAAATTGTAAATACACCACATTCTGATATCCTTAAGTTCTTAGCTTTCTTAGTTTTTTAAGTTCTCATGCAACTCCATTTCAAGGTATTTCCGTGACAACAGCCTACTTTAATCAAGCAGAGCAGCAAATATCATTAATGTTTTTGCCTTCGCGTTTAAATTTGGCATAATAGTTTACCTAATACAGAGTCTCTACATCGTTAATCAAGCCATTATTTGACTTCGATAGTATTTTCGTAGATCGAAGACCAATGTTTAATCAACAAACGAAAATCTTTTTCATCTATTGTTTTGGAAATTACAAAACTACAGTCATAAAAATCTATGGAATAATAGTGTTGCCATATATGTGACAGATCGGTGATTTTTTGATTAATGTGATATGAAAAAAAAATTAGTTGAATCAAATTCTTTAAATATATGGTAATAGTATCTCAATTCTCACGATCGCATCTATATTTAAATCTAATTTGCTTTCGATAATGTTTGTAAATTGATGTATGTATGTAACACAACGCCTTCAAACCTTAATATATAAAATCACTAAAATAGTAATTAATTTATATACCTTATTATATAAATAAGTTATTTTTTTTATATTATATTTAAAGTCTTATATTTATATAAAATTAATTATTTATATGCACATTAATGGCTTATAAGTAAGCATATCCTTCACAAATCTTTATAGATTTATTAACACAATATATACTTTATATAGTAAATAAAAAATAAATTTTTTTTATGTTTTTTTGATTTTATAGTCATTATATTTTAATAGTTTTATATATATATACATAAATTGACTTAAAGCTATGATCAATTAATAACAAGAGCATTTTGGTGGTATTAGTTGTGTAGGTATTTGTTCAAATTTACAACCAGTCCCATAAACAATTTTTAAAACAATGTTTATTAATTTATATATATAAATTGATTATATATAAATTATATTGTAAAGATATTTTATAGCTTATACTAACCTTATGATAAACACTCATTCTTTTAATTGTACGTGCTATTTTAATTAATTTTCATAATTTATTAATTATAATAAATATATATCATTTTAACATTAAAAATTAATCTTAGTAATTAAATTTATATTCTAATTAAATAAATTAAAAACAATTAAATAGTAATTTCATATTGTTAACGCAGGAGTCCTGTTTTCGTCAATAATTCGATAAGTTTTTACATAGCTCAGCACAAACAGAAAAAGCGGGTAAATTCGTTTAGTTATTTAGTTGACGCTAGTATCGCGTAGTGAACGCGTGGACTGTAAACCTCTAAGTCCTTTTTCTAATTTATCTGCATCACCTGCGGAAAAGCGATAATTGCCTTGTCCATTCGAATTACCAGTTCCATTCACACCCAAATGCGTACGGTTGTTGCGTATGTTGACGACATGCGTAGGATTTGTAGAATCGTTTGAACTGAAATTTGTGACTGATATACGTCGGTTCGTAAGCAATTCGAGGTGTTCATCGGATTTTTTCTTATAACAATTCGGTACGCTTTTAGTAGGTGGATTGCATTCCGCAGGTTCCGGTAGTCGTTTGTATTCTGCGCTGCGTGAATGATGCATTTTCCAAGAAGTACGACGCGTTAAAGTGCAATTATATGCAATTGGAGCTGAAGTGGATGTTGGAACTATTGTGCCCGTTGAATTGTTGGGTTGTGAAAAGTTGGAATGTGTCGAACTATTACTTGATAAACTGGAGTTGCTGTTATGTTGACTGCAGACTAAAGAGTTACGTTGTGATGTTCTGTGATGTTTATCATCTTCATTGATGATGTGCACCTTTGCTGTGGGCTTTTCCTCTAGTTGTAATTCCTCATTGTAACGATTCGTTGTAACTGAATGCTTCGATAATGCTTTTGTAGTATGTTCATTAGGCAATAGCTCATCTGTGGAACGACAGCAACTACTGTTGCTACCAGAATGTTTCATAGTCCAACGAAAGCAATTAGAGTTTTCATCATCCAATGGTGGGAAGGTTTTGTTGTTACTATCTGATGAACGACGTTCTTTGCAATTACTTACTGGTACATCACATGGAGAAATGACTTCTTCGATTGTATTTAAGGGCGATACTTGTAAAGTTTGTTGTTGCTGTAGCATATCCATTTCAGTCTTTATTGTCGGCTCTATACCCAATAAACCTAACACCAAACGTGGATTTGCCAATACAAATCGTTCAAAAGTGGCGATATCAATTTTGAAAAAGTCTGTTTGACATCCCCGCGATACTTTGGTTGTATCGATCGGTGTGCCGGGCTTTGAATTACATACATTTACCTGTTCACTTCTTGCAGCAAGTGGTAGATGCATTTCACGTCCCCATATATCTGGCGGATGTGATAAACAACGTTGTAAATGTGTATCATCTGCATTGCTAGCAACAAAGTGTGTGCTCACTACTGCGGTGCCACAAATATTGGGTATAGAACGCGCCGGTGGGAATTTCAGACTGGCTTGTGATGCCATTGTAGAAAATGTGACTTCTTGTAGCGCCTGTATTGCATTACGTACTTCCATACTAAGTTGTGCCACATCCTGGTGCAGTGTGGACACTTGTGAATCTAAACGTTCCATTGAGTGTCTTTTAAATGTATCACGCAGTTCTTCCTCTCCTTCGTAAATATTTAAGTCTTCTTCTAAAGAACCAGTCTCTATGCTTGAATTGACATTCAAAGAGCGTTGTCGTTCTACACGTTCTCGCAATGAAATTTTGGAACGACCACGTTGAATAATTTTCAATTTGCGTGGACTATTCATACCTAATAATGGCGAACGTCCTAACAGTGGTGATGGTGTTGTTATGCTGTGATGCGGAGAAGCTGTTGTTGCTGTTGCCACACCATTATCATTGTCGTCTCTACCACCATCACCATCTTGTTGATTTTCATCGTCTTCACTGATACTTGGTAAAGGAAATGATGGCCCAATGTCTGAATCTTGACTTTCGTAACCCTCACGTAAATTGTAAGTCAAATCATGTTGTATATCATTAGCGAACTGTTGCTGGTATTCTGGATACAAGCGCAGTACTTCTACTAATCCGCCCATATGAACGCATTTTAAATCACAATAGGTTAATGCCTGTGTGAGAGATAGACAATGTTTTGTTGGAATATTAGCGTAATTTGATAGTGAAAATATTGAAATATAAATAAAAAAGTATGAATATAGAGAATAAGTAAAATAATCGTGGATGGAATAAGAACAAAATAATTTTTTTACTATGGTAGAAGAATGTGGTTGTGATTTGAAAAAAATATAATATCGTTAGACTTCATTTTTTGTTAATTTGCTATGAAAGTTTTAATAATAAATTCATTTACTGTATTATATTAAAACAAAATCAGAAACCAGCTGTAGAATAGTTGAGTTAATTAATTATATTTTTATTTTTAATTGCTAAATTTTAATACTATTCTTTTGTAGAGGCATTATTTATTGTTTGAGTTTATATTTCTTTCTGGCTTATATAGTAATATCTTTGGCGTAGCCACAAAATTGGATGTTGTTGTTAAACAGACTCTTATCAACGTCCGTTTCTGAAAGAACACTATTAAGCACAAGAAATGAATGTTAGGGAAGCATCAGCTTGTTTGACGACTAATTCAATCCTAAACAGGTCTGTTAGTTCACCTTGAACGAGTAATTGATTTGTTGTATTCTTAAGGGTTAATATAATTAAATTGGTCAATTTTATTCAGATTCCACTCTTCAATAGCGCTAGCTTAATTTTTGAACGGTATATTTTGTCAAAAACTTGTCTGAATTCTATGAAAAGGCAATGTAACATATGTCAATGATATTGACATACATTGTTTTCATAAGACTTTTCATAGAACTTTTCAAAAATCTGACATGTTGTTAAAAATTGATCTATGGTTGAACTTTTAGTTTTTTCGCAGCAAATGTGATAAGCAGTTTATAGGACACATAAACAGGTGATATGCAATTCTAATTTAGACATTTACCTATATATGCTAAATTTTATAATTAGGTTTAGTAATTTTTTTTTTTTTGTCGGCATGGAGGAGTTGAATGCCTACGCATTGGCCATATTCCGGCGCCTCGGAAAGTGAGTGCACGACGACTCGCACAGACTAAACCACTCCCCCTCATTCCTAGACACTGAGACATATATTTTCGTTATTAAGTATGACTTTACAGAAATTAAAAAAACCGTTAATGCTAAATAAATAGTCGTTTGAATTTCATATGAAAAAACAAATTTACGCTTTTATCACTTTATAACTTTACTATTTATCTTTATTATATTGAAACAATCTTCTATCTATTTGCTTTGGCTAGTTTTACTTACAAATGAAGTCTTGGCTAGTTGTGGCATAACACGATTAGTTATCGTTTCTAATTTGATAGGCACGAGTTTTAAGCTTGGTACTTGCAGTCCAAATAAATTATATATACACTATAAACTAATTTAAAAAAAAAGACTGGAATATGTCCTAAGACCACTGATGATGGGTACAGCTTTGTATGGTCAGTCAAATTTTAATAAATCAAATTTTTGTTGTTGTTTCTTCATTACTGTTCAAACCGTTCTATCTTGTTTTCGTATTAGTTTTCCACTTTTACTTTTGGAATATGTATTATATATTTTTTCGATCTCTAAAACGTATTTTACTCTATATTTTCTTGTACATGCATTAAATAAATCAGTACTAATTTAATTAAATGAGAGTAAAGGATTGTATAAATGGGAAAATTTAATTTCATTTAAAAAATATAAAAATGTTTTTTGCATTTTACCTTAATATCACTACTGCTACGAACCACCACATCCTGTCCTGCGCTGTTTGTTGTAGCAGTCATTTGCCCACTTGACGTACCCACCAAATGTACGTTTATGTCTGAACCGACTAAATCACCTTTACCTGTTGCATGACATGTACAAATATTTGAATAAAAAATAATGGTGTTAATATTACAAAAAATTTATGAAAATTAAATTAAATCTCATCACAAACAAAGCAAATATGCGCATAACACGCATAACGTTTTTATATAAAAACCTCAAATAAAAATTTCACACATAAAATTTATAGTTTTCGTTAACTGTAACTTACTTACCCAGTATAGCTACTACCATGTCGTCCTTGATTACTTCCATGGAACCGTTGCACAGATAGTAAATATAGTTAAGTGCATCGCCTTTGTGTATTAAATATTCGCCAGGTGCGCAAAAATTTGTTTTGATATGCAGCGAGAGGAGCTTCAAGCAACCCTGCAAAAAATTGCAATAAAAATGTCAGCATGATTATGCAAATACGAATATTTAAATATTAAATGAAATTTTTAAAATAATCAAAAATGCTGAAAATTAATAAACGTGAATATTTTATACGCGCTATTGGGGAAGCAGCACATTTATTGACTTTTCTTGCTCCAAAATGGCAGTCGACTTAAAGTGTTAAAGTGGTTAACCTTTGTTATAAAATAAAGTGAATAGTTAAGTTCAAGGATCTTAAAAAATTAAATATTCAAGCAACTGAAATTCTTACTTAAGGTTTTAATTTTCTGAAGGATTTCGTTTAAGTCTCTTGACGGTGCTATTCAGACTTTTCCCATCAAAAAGAACACATTCAATCTTGCTTACAATAAGGAAAAACGATGCCAAAATGCATGCAAATTCCAACATTAACGAGGGTATTGACATCTCCATATCGAGATAAAGAATTCTGACAAAGTTAAACACAACAAAAGGCTCCTCAGTGAAATTGAAGCTAAAACATGCTTAACATATTTTGCTCCTTGTTTGATTACGTGTTTATGTGTGAAAATTTCTAATTCTTAAATTTTATTTAAGAAGAAAAATGTAACTTAGCAAATGCCGAAATACAAATTTGCTCACATACTTTAGAAATAATGCTATTCTTATAGATTTATTTTTAAGTGGATTATTAGTTAAATTTAATTTTTGGATTGATAACGAGGGCTGCCTTTTAAATCTTGCACCTAACAGTGAAAACATAGTAGTTGAAGAGTGAAAATGGTTTTATTATTTTTCGAAGTATTCTCCATGATGATCAATACATTTTTGTATACGATTGAACCAATTTTCGAAACAGTTTTGTCACTCTGAAGTTGATATCTCCAAAACCAGGGTTTTAAATGTCTCAATAGTTTGTTCGAGCGTAGAAAAATGCTCGCCACTCATTTTATTCTTAATGTTTGGGAGCAAGCAGAAGTTATTGGGTGCCAAGTCGGGACTGTAAGGCAGATGACACATCAATTCGACGTTTTGAATATTCAAAAACTTTTTTCTTTGAGTTGATGTGTGGGAGCTCGCATTGTCATGTTGGAGGATGATTTTACTTCGATGGTTAATTTTTTTCAATTCTTCATGGAGTTCCGGTAAACAAATGGTTGTGAACCATACAAAATTGACCATTGTAACTTGTTTAAGTGGTATAGTTGCACCATGATCTGTTTTTCTGTAAAAATATGCGACCATTGGGATAGATTTCTGATCACTTTGGAAAACCTAAAAATGAATTGCTGTTTTGTTTCGTGCTCATAGGCATAGATACATGATTCGTCAAATTTCATGATGTCGTAGACGTGTTTTGAACTACTTCGGTTGTAATTTTTCAGCATTTCTTGTCACCAATTAACATATGCCCTCTTTTAAGCGATTGTCAAATTATGGGGAATTCAATGGGAAAAAACCTTTTTCACAGGTATATGTATATGTAAAATTGAATATATGTTGGTCCCACTACTGCCCAATGACGCCTCTATCTTCCGGTATGTAACATGCCGATCTACGTCAATCATTTCTTGCACTGCATTGATGCTCTGGTGCAATAGCTGTAGCTGTTTTTGGACGACCTTTCTCAATTCGTCGTTGAGAAAACGACAGTTGCTGGATGCGGTGTTTCGTCACCAAATGTTGAACTAAGTTGTCATTAACATGTATGGGCCCATCATGTCTCCAGATCAAATGTACATAATTCAGTAATTTTTTAAGGATGCAATGTATATCAACAGTTATTTAAAGATTTGTACTTACTAATATATGACAATTTTGTTCTGTAACTGAGGTTTTTCATCATACAATTCTAACAGAACTAAATCCATTGGTAAACATGGTCTGCTTGAACTCATTCATAATCTTTGTGTAAGATTTTATTTGATCAGCTTAAAATCTGAAAATCTGGTTTTCTAATAAATAGATGGATAGACAGACATAGCACAATTGATTAAAAGTAGCACTAAAACTCAACTGGATTGTTCTTTAACTAAATTTTGGTATATACTTCCTTGATATAGTATACGATTCGATTTATTACTAATTATGAGAATTTATTTATGTAAAACATATAGCAGTTAACGCAGAGTCAAACCAAATTTTAATCTATTTCTATTGATTTTTATTAGTATTTTTAAAATAATTTTTATGTACATATATAATTATATATTCGTGGAATCAATAAAACTCTTTCATCACGAGTCTATTATATTGTTAGTGTACCCAAGTTATGAATAACTAAAAAAAAATAATTGAAGTTAATATGTATTTATGCGTAAAAAGTTAATTAAAATTATCTAATAATTAATGTATTTTGCTTTTTAATAACAACTTTATATGGTTTTGATATTAATTGGCCCATTAATATATAAAATTGGCCTAATATTTTAAATGCTGCAATTACAATTACAATTGTGTTATTATTAATTTTTATTTAGAACTATTGACTGATCCATTGATCTATTGTAACATAAACCAGTCGTTAGTTTAGTTTATTTTTGAATGGTAAAACGAAATTGTCGTATTTTTGGTAAAGAGTTAATAGAAATGCTGTTAATGGTATCTTTATTGAGGAGTGTTATATATCTTTTATTTGCAGTAAAAGTAAATATTTTTAAAATATGATTTTATTAAAAATAACATAATGAAAAAGGATTGTTTACTTATTAGGTATTTTCGTATATTGAATTTACAAATATTATGTGCACTTCACTCGATAAGGATTTTGCCGATTTCGAATATTGCTACTTAAAATCAGTCAACCGGTCCTTCAAATATATGTCACTAAGGTTAAAACTTTACAAAGTACCACTAACAAATATAACGGTATGTTTTTAGTAATTGAATTCATCAGAAAGTTAAACAAAGAATTAATCATCTTTTAAACCATTGTCAAAACAGATTCAGTACCAAGTTTTAAAAAAAGCTAATGGATATAAGCCTTTTATGTATAATATAACATTTGATGTTTGCAAGTTCTTGAAATCGCCTAATCACCCAGTAACAAAAATATTTTATAGTTTATTTAGAAATCGTTCAAATGTAAATCACACATGTCCATACAATGTAAGCTAAATACGGAAATTGGTAGCTAAATTTTGATTAACTGATTTTTATTTATTTTAGCATGATTTTATAGTGGATAAACTTGATTCGGCGGTTTTAAATGAAAAGACATCACGTTTACCGATTCCGGATGGAGATTATGCAGTTTATATTACATGTTTTGCTTATAATATTAAACGTATTTCAGTTAAGGTGTATATCAAAGTATTTTACAAAAATGTACCATAAATATATGTTGATTCTTTAGAAAAGTATATGTATGCGGCAATGTACAACCTTCTACATCTGAAAATTTGTCCCATCATTTTTTTTCTTTATATGCACACACTACAAATGTAACTAATAAATATATTTTATCGTTATATTTTAAATATTAATAAAGATATAGATATTAAATATTAACAGAGATATAGTGCGTAAATTAAAGAAGGCAACCTAAAGGGCCACATGAAGATCCTGAAAATCTTTGGATAAGAAGTTTTGTATCTTCAGACACTTCAAAGTGGATACAACAAAGTAAATTTTGAAGAGAGCTTACAGTTAAGTTACACTGATGGGTCCAAATTGGAAGACGACAGCACTGGAACGGGAATTTTCAGGACGCAGTAGCAATGGGTCAAGTGGTTTCCATTTTTCAAGCGGAGATCCATGCCCTAAAGCTATCCTCTATAGAACGCTTATGTACTTGCAATACTAACATATGCATCCTCTCAGACAGTCAAGCAGGTCTGAAATCACTAATGGTATTCACATTCTAATCGGAGTTGGTTTGTGACTGTTTTAATTTTTTCAAGATCTTAGTGACGAGTAATTCTGTGATTTTGTTGTGGATACCGGGACATGAGTGGCATGAAGACAATGAAAGGGTGGAGTTCTAGGCAAAGAAAGAGGCAAAAACACATTTTGTAGGCCGGGAAATCTTCTGCGATATTCACAACAGCTTCAAAATTAGCCCAGTACGTAAAAGGGAAAAACAAAACCTAACTGATTTCTGGAGAGTTCAAAAAAGCATGAGTTTTATTATCTCTAAATTTTAGATAATAAATAGTTCCACACACAACCGTTCAGTTTAAAGACTTTTATTAAAGAGAACTTATAACTAAAATAACAAAGGTAATATAAACTACTTAATTACATGGTTGCATTTATGCTGACACTAAACATAAAAAGGCTAAAACTATTCTAAACTTTAGCAGTTCAGATATTAAACTTTACATGGACCTTATAACAGTACACTGTAGACTGCTATTTCATCTGAAAAAGACTGGTCTCGCAGAAAACGATTTTTGTTGACTCTATCAAGAGCATCAGGAAACAGCAAAACATCTAGTTAAAGTACGGCCTACATTTGTTACGAAATTCTTCAAAAGTTTAGAATCGGTTTAGTTGGGCGAAAGGCTGGACAAAAGATCTTTTAGTTCACAGTGCATTCACAGCCTATCTATAATAATAAGACAGTGTGTTAAAAAAAGGCAACGCTGAATATCTCAAAACTATTTTCTGCAAGTCCAAATTATTTAAGGACTAGTATCTCTATAATTAATGTAAGTCCTACTACTTTAACTAAATGTGCCTTATTTGCGTCTTGTGTATTAGTAAATGTTGGGCATCGATGTTTTTATCTATATATTCGCAGAGTATATAGTATATATACTCTATTCACACGCTATATACTATATACCTTGTGAATAGTATACTAAGTATACTAAAAAGTATACTAAGTATACTAAGAAGTATACTAAGTATACTAAGAAGTACACTATGTATACTAAGAAGTACATTATGTATACTAAGAACGGTATACAATGTATTCTATGAATGATTTACTATGCATATATACTATAAATGAATATGTATGAATTTTCGTTGTCTTCGTAAATTATTTAAAAAAAAATTTAATTATTGCAAAATTGTGTTTTAACAAAAGTTGAAATATTAAATATTGATAAATATTAAAAAAATAGCACGCTGCTAAATTATAGCATAACATAGCCACCATTTCAAGTTATAGCTCAACCTTGTAGTGAACTCAGCAATCGTAAAAGTTTTTACAACAAATTTAAAAAAGAAATTCGAATTTTTTCATATCTGTATGCACTTTATCTCTGGATTCCAACTTATTTTAAGTTTAAGTGCACATCACAGATTAACATTTCCATATTTCACGTAAGCAGTGCAATGATGTGTAAAAAAAAATTGCTGTTAAGGAACAATAGATTTGACTATTGCATACATTAAAAAAAAAGTACTGAAGTATTTGAAAAATGGTTCTGCATTTTGTGCAAATAAGGATATATTTTTTTTATATAGGTATATACAGGTTTGCTCTCATAGCTAGTTGCCGCATATTGTGGTCAGGAAGCTACGCATGCATAACTCTAGAAATAAATTGACTTTAAGTACTGAAAAGATGAGAGGAAGCTCTGAAATGTAAAGTTTTATTCACGCAATAAAAAAACGTATTTTGAATTAAACGAATTTTTTTTTATGGATGTGAACTCATTGCATCATCAACTCGTAACGTTTGCTTCTGTTCTTTTGTTCTTCTTGAATAAGTTGAATTTTGAACTTTTACCTTTTCAAAATCACAGAAATTCTCACAAAACGCAAAAAAAAATAAAAACGAATTACATATTCATGGAATCTGTTGCTTACCTGCGAAGCTGCCTCAAATATTGGCAACTGCAAAATTTCACGGTGTAAATGCATGGATACATCGCCTCTCAGCTCCTCTGGAAATTCGCGTAGCGTCTGTTGTTGAACATGTAAAAAAAGAGGTGAAAAATTCGAAATGAATAAAGTTGCAAAAAAATTTTAATATTATTCAATGAGTAAAAAAGATTTTCCTTTTATTGTTTGGGACAATCGAGAGTTTTTATAACTATTATTTGATTGTTAAATGGTGTATGTCAGAACTGCGCTGTTAGTATCTTAATTGCTGCTAAGTAATCACTTTCTGACGGTTAAAACTTTGATTGGAGTGGAATTGATATTATCAAGAAAAACACAAAGGTATTATACAGAGATTCATATCATATCAAGGAGATGTATCTTTTAAATTAACCTGAGAGTAATATCATGGGTAACAGAAAAATAATTGTATATTAACAATAATAGAATAGAATTTTGAAAAAGGACTGCGTTCGATATAGCTACAGAAACTCTTCCACTTGCATGAATGAGATGATTTGCCTAATATATATTAATATATTCATATTAATATATTTGAATGATTACAATAAATCAAGTACCACAATATATGATTATTAAAAAATTGTTAATATCGATGGTTGCTTTCTTCGTTTAATTTTTGGATTATGGCGTCAAATATAGTGCGTATGTCTACCATGAATATATTCCGGAAGGATGTTTCATCAAGATCCTGACCTTTTACATAAAACATGCACCAACCAAAAATAAGTGATCGACTTTCACAGTGACTTTTTTGGTGACGTTAATTTTGCAACCCAGGGTTAGCTCTGTAATATACTGGAGTATTAATATGCTCAAGAGAGCTGTCATTATTTATGGATGAAGATTGTATAGGTTTAGTTATGTGAAGTATGTTATATAGACTTTGAGTTATAATTTGTTATGAAGACTATTATATTGGCAGTAGACTTTGAGTGTTAGTTCGTGGTGAACCTTATTTATAAACAAAGACATCGAAAGTTTGAAATAAAATCCAAAACGATCTAACAACTATTTCTTATGATCAATAAAATTGGTATTATTTTATTAAATCACCATTCGTTTGCTATTAACTTATGTCATGACACATTTATTATGAATTCACATATTTATAGATATGGTGTATCGATTTATTTTGGTAGTGGTTTTTAATCTCTTAAGACTCCTCTTGGTTAAGTGCCCAATCTTACACTCTTAAAGTATTTTTCATACTTGCATTATATAAAAATAATAAAAAAATAAAAGAATACACAAGGTAAACACAAATTGTTTTGCTTCCATCCTCGCATGTACATAATACCTATAGCAAAACAGATATTTTGTTATTAGCATTTGGGAATACCGAACTTGACATTGGGTAACAACAAACGTAACAGTAGCACCAAATGACAGTTGGTAATAATATTGTCTTTAAACTCGGTATCGTTTTTTCAGAATTTTAACATTTATTTTGACTGTCGTTTTTTTGTATATTCCTATACGTATTTCGGGAAATTCGCTTTTGCCTTCATAAGGAGAATTCCTAATATTGTTTCTGTATATTTAATTTTTTTTAAGTAAAAGTGTATAATATTTTGTTTGTATAAAATATTTTGAACAAAATTTTATGTTTTACCATCTTACATATTTTTTCCAATCAATTATTTTAGTTAATGGTTTATACTAAAACTTTGGATGTTATAAGGATATGAAAAAAGAAGTAGCCTTCAAATTTTAATACCTTAAAACTATATTTTTTATTACATCTTCCATCATATTGTATATTCAACTCTTTTAACATCTATGTCAGCTTATTGAGTATTGAAAATAAATACTATCTGTCTTTGATGATCTTTGGCTTTTGTGATATATATTAATTAAACCAAAGTGGGAGAAAAAGTTACTCATACGACATGTGTAACAAAAAATAATAACAGCGTCAATACAATTTTTGAGAATATTTTAATTAAATAATAAAAATAACTGAATAATGGTGACAAAGTAAATGCTCCCTTTAAATGTAAATAAAACTTAAGTAATTGTTTTCATACGCTGTGAATTTGTAGTATTAGTAAAATATTTACCAATACATATAGGAAACTTTAGTATTTAGATACTAAATTTTAAACGAGCGAATGGGGAATTGTACTTGAAATGTGTGTATGTGACACATGCTGTTAGCAACATAGCAGTCAAGTAACAGTAGCAGCTGTGGTAAAAGTTGTATCTTAACAGCTGTGCGTAGCTAGCAGAGCACAAGTGATTTTATATAAAAATGTCATATTGTTTATGTTTATTAAAACAACTTTTAATGTAAATATAAGAGTTTATATGTACATACTGCTTTAAATACACAATTTATGCAATACATATAGACACATATGACTACATATAATCATAATCATGCATATTATAAATAAATGTGTTGCTTTACGTATACTTGAGTTTTACGGAATTTGTCTGAAATTCGTCGCACTTTGCGTTACAATTCTCCCGCGTATGCCTCTCACATAAAGTCGAAGCATTCAACTTTGTATGAAAATGTGTTACTTGTAATGTTTTATTTGTTACTGTGGAGCAATGTATATGAGAGCGTTCATCCCAAAAGGATAAGAAAACGTTAACAAATGTACAACATGTAATTTATGAGTTTAAGTGTGCTTACAACTAAATATGTAATTTAAGTTTTGTTTTCATCACTTTTTTGTTTTTGTTTTTTGAACTTATATTTTAATTTATTGTTTGATGTTTTTTATTATTTTTATTATTTTTATTATTTATATGGGTTTTTAACTTTAAACTTAAGTATTTGGGGTTTTTGTTTTTGTATACCAAAGGCATATGTTAACATAATTAAATAACTTTAAAGTGACCTAACCATAATGCATGTAACCTTTTCATTTTCATTTTTAAATATTCAAGATACGTGGGTAAATGGTCTACATTCCGCAAATAACTAAAAATATATTCTGCAATCAAGTAATATTATACTATGTATATGAATAAATAGTATTGCGATGAATGTATATGTTATATACATTTTTAAGTTATAAATATAGAAAGTCAACATTTTTCACATAATTAAATTTTTGTTATATTAGTTTTTATAAAGCAATACTTGCTTTGCATTATAAACGTTTCATGTAATTAAAGTATGTTTTAAATTTATTAAGTTTATGAGTGCTATAAATTTACTAGTTTTTGTTCCTTTGGTGAATGGTATATAAATCAATTTAAAGTTAGTAAAATATTTATATGTGTAAGTTTATTGCTTGTTGGAATATATAATCTGTCAAAAAAGTTATTTACACTAAGAGTACTTGAAGCAGCCTGCAATGATATGAATACATATTTTAAGGGCTTTTTTATTATTAGTAGTTAGCTGTCATAGTTTCTATTTACAAATTAAACAATTTAAATTTTTTTTCTCTTTTATATTATCGATATGTAATGAGTTTTCTTTGATATAAATGTTTTTTATAAGTACATGCATGTGTTATCAATAGGTAGTATATTCTTTTGTCAAGAATGCTTCAATAGGACAATTTCTGATTGCTTTACGGAATGCAGAATGGCATCACTATGTTACATAAATTAGTAATCATATGACAAGTAAACAATTTTTAAAGAAATTTGATAAAATTAATGGTTAATAAATATATGTAAATATAAAAGGTTAGGTTATACCGGCGATCCCTAGGGGATGCACTTAGACCTATTGGTCCATTGTGTTACTGTATATATAGAAAAAATGCAAATAATTTTATAAAAGAATTTTTTTTTTATATAAATATAAAAACAAAAAACACAAAAAAAATATTGGTGAGCATTATATATTGTATTTGAATTTTTATTAAAGTACAAATTTTTCTTAGGGTTTATTCATGATTACTGAGAAATATCACAAAAACTTACTCCTTAAGTCCGGATATAACTCCTTGCTCCAAGATACGAAGAAAATCCTAAGGGAGTGTGTTAAAAAAATATGTGTCCCAAAAAGGATGTGCAGTTAAAAAACATCTACTATGAAAATGATTACCACATCTAAAATGTCTTATTAAAATATCATAACTTATATTTTAATTATTAAGAACTTATTGTTTTTAATCGATTAAGGGACAGTTTTACAATGCACACTTAGGGATCGATTTGACATTTACAATTTTGACATTAAATTTTAAATGAGCTTTAGGTGCCCACCTATGAGTATTTAAACAAGGGGACATAAGAAAATTTATGATTTGTATATAAAGAAAATTAAATTTTTTTGAAAAATTTAGTAATTTTAAATATGATTACATTTGTATTCATCTGAGTTTTCGATTGTAAAAACGATTACGAAATTGAAAAAAATTGAAATATTATTTACGTGAGTCCACCAAAGGGAACTACAGACCGACCCTAATTACTTCCAATAACATAATTTTCATCACTTTTAAATTATTAAGCATGTAAAATTTTCCAATTTGAAATGAATTAAAATAACTGTCAAGTTTCAATACAATGTAGCAGTTCATATGATTTCTCCAGTATTGCCACATTTTTCGTAATTATAATTTTATCTCAAGTCTTTATATCGCAAAAACTTTGAACAGTTAATGGCTGAAGAGAACTTATACTATACTTAGCTTAAGAGTTTTCTAAGTGTATTTATTGTTAAACTGAGCCTAAATATTTTTTAGGTTAATGTTGTTTTTTACTCATATTTGTTGAAAACTGTCATCGTATAAATTAGATGCTGTAGGAAAATTTTGAAGTATTTATAATCTGCACATGATAAATTAGTGCGTTTTATTGATAAAATCTGTTACTTGACAAGTGAATAAACATTCAAATATCTTGGTGAATATTTTTTTAAAAATTGTATTTGAACTTTTTTCTTAATTAAAAATATTAAGAAAAATATATTGCTTAAATATCTGTATAGTTCTAGTATATCAGTACTTTTACACAACCCTTCCTTTACGTTTTTAATAAAAACCGAATCGAAAGTCATAAATTTGTTAGTCGAATTTGTTTCATATTAAATAATGTATGGTATAAAAAAATATTTTCACAATATGAACTTTAAACTATCAAAT